TCGTCCCAGCAGCAGTGACCCGTGGGCTCCACAGTCACTGTGGCCGCCATCATGGTCTGGGCGAGGAATGGAAGGCCTGGTTAAGAGTGGTAGGCTCTTATGTGGTGATTTGGCAAGTATATGAGAAGCCAGTGCAGATGGAACTTGGCACTTCTTCCATTGGTTGGGCATTACCCCGCTTTCTAAATCTGTGCTCTGCTTCCTGGAGTTTGTATTATTCACCAGTGACAGGAATGGAAAACAACGATTAATTTGTAATCCTGCAATTAACCGTGATGAGTGTCGAAACAGAGGTACAAATAGGACTGAGCACTGAAAGTCTGAAAAGGTGCCAACTGTCCCAGGAGTCTGTACTTTTGCAAGGTCTTTCCACGTGGTTGGCCCTCTAGATGCGCCGTTCAATAACCTGGCCTAGTCCTCCCTTCCCACTTGGTCCCTCACTCACCAAGCCCGACTCCTAGAGCTAGTGGTGCCCAGAGAGCTGCCAGAGCAGGTTGGTGCCTGTGCAGTCAGACTTTGCTGGGTTCCAGTCTGACTGTCATTCTCCAAACCCAAGCACACCCCCAGCCAGTCCATTCTGACTCTGCACTGATAGACCTGTAGCAGGCATGCTATGTGAGTATTCTAACTCGCCTACACTGACAGTCTAGTCCCTGGCAGTGTCAGTACAGGGGTGCATCCGGCAGAATTTTGGCAGGAAACAAGTGTCATGTCAAACTAGGTAATTTGAAGAGTTTCAAAAGGGGTTATTTGCCACCAGCCTGTGTAATCATGAGGTGTCAATGCGATTCGGTATCAGAAGTTCAAAAACAAGCAATCAAATCAATGTGAAGAAGCGGTGACAAAGTGGAGACCCAAAACCCACCTGTAAGATAATTGGACAGTCCCTCACAGTAGGACCATATGGGAGGGAAGGTATATCCAGGGTGCAGTGTAGCACTGATGAAACACACAACTATCCTCTAGTTCTTTAATAGCTCTGCCCCTTACTATTATGGTCCCAGTTTTACCTCATTAAACTATTTAGACTTGTTAATATTCATTTGTGTATTGAAGATCATGCGATGCATGAAAGCCAAGGTAGCTAAGCCCATCAAAATAGTTAATGGGGGCAATTCCCTGGGGGTACAGGAAGGTTGGGGAGGGGAACTGATAGGAAAGATGACTGTGTAGCCCTCTTGAGGGGAGCAAGTAACACAATTGTAGGGAACAGATGCACTGGATGGTGTAAGATATGGCAAATAGTAATAACTATTTGTAAGATGATAATAAGGGTTTCTGGGG